CTTTTAGAGGCCATTGGAAGCTTCCGAAAGAGTGCAAGCACCACGTGATAAATAAGGACCAGTCACGTGATGAATACAGACCACTTTTCCGCGGTGCCCGCGGGCGCCAACTACAAATTCGTTTTGCGCCGTAAATATAGCTTTAAAAATTTTTTTTATTCGTTGTAAAATCGTTTTATGGGGTCCTTTTTCCATCTAAGCCGTTTAAAAACAAGTTTTTTTCCTTTGCATGTGTCCTTTAAAGAACACATGCAAAGGAAAAAAAAAATTTTTTTTTTTAGACAGCTTAGATGGAAAAAGGATGTCATAAAACGATTTTACAAATGAAGAAACAAAATTTTTAGAGCTATATTTACGGCGCTATACGAATTTGTAGTTGGCGCTCGCGGGAGCCGCCGCTGGTCACGTGGTAGGCCCGCGCGCCGCCGCGCTGCGTCGCCGCCGCACGCTGAGCGTTGTGCGAACGCCGCTTCAACGCTTTTCTCCACGCCGCCGCCGCCGCACAAGTTCGTCTGCTTCGGGGCGCCGCCGCCGTCGTCTGACCGGCGCACAGGTCTATCACGTCTGCTTGCGCTTTTTCAGGAGTTTCCTTTGGGCTCTAAAAGTTACTTATTCGTCTTGGTTTTTGTTATACTTCAAACAAAGATGAATGAGTTACTTTTAGAGGCCATAGGAAGCTTCCGAAAGAGCGCAAGCACCACGTGATAAATAAAGACCAGCCACGTGAAAAATACAGACAACTTTTCCGCGGTGCCCGCGGGCGCCAACTACAAATTCGTTTTGCGCCGTAAATATAGCTCTAAAATTTTTTTTTTCTTCGTTGTAAAATCGTTTTATGGGGTCCTTTTTCCATCTAAGCCGTTTAAAAAAAATGTTTTTTTCCTTTGCATGTGTCCTTTAAGGAGTCACCTGTCCCTCAGTACGCTTCCATCCTCCTCAAGAGCTGCGCTCCAACCGGCGTTACAGAGAATTGTAAACGGCTTTCATTTTTTATTGCTTTGTGATTATTCGCAAGATCCTAGCCTGTTGTACTGGAGTGATTGTCACGCCCCTCCTTGCCACCCGAAAGCCGCCATTCATCGCTTTTCTGCTCTGGTCTCTTTTCCTGCCCTTCTTGTTCCAACTTCCTTCCAAGCACCCCCCCTCCCCCCTTTTCCGGTGATCGGACAGGGAGTCAAAAGGTCCAAAAGGTCCAATAATGAATCTTTTAATTCGTTGGATCTCTTAGCTCTTCTGACACGAGTCAAAAGAACCAATGTGGGTCAAAAGGTCACACGAGTCAAAAGATCCACAGCGAGTCAAGAGGTCCGAGTCAAAAGGTCAACGAGTCAGAATGTCCAATAATGGTCTTTTGACGTGTTAGACCTCTTGACTCGGAATCGGGGGGTGCTTTTAAGATTAAGTCGTTTGCTGATAATCAGAACAAAAAGACGAGCTTTTTCTTTATTTTTATTTAGAAGTAGCACTATATCGCGTAAGTAGATAGGTGGGTGGAAGGGCTAGTGCCATCTGGCTTCTGGAATACTCTGTTCACATTCGCGGATTATACAATGGTCCCCGAGAAATAATCCACAAGATACGTGAAAACACACACAATAAAAAGAAAAGCACTCGTGTTCTTTTTTTGCATTCCAGCTTCGTGCCCTTCCTATTTTTCTTCAAGGTTAATGTTGGCTCTTTAGCACACTGGTGCTGTATCACGTTGCGCGGGAAGTTGGAAGTTTGCGACACACCTCCTGATGAAACGTTCGAAGTCTCCAGTTTCGACACACCTCCTGATGAAACGTTCGAAGTCTCCAGTTTCGACACACCTCCTGATGAAACGTTCGAAGTCTCCAGTTTGGGCCTTAGTCGGAGAACGAAAGCAGTCCAGTCTTCCGGAGCTGGTCGGAGCGCTCGTCACGGTGGCTCCTCTGCGTGTGCCGCCGATGGACTTTCTGTCAGTCGCCCAATTTTTGTGCAGCTTCTGTTCTTGTGAAAATGGGCGTGTGGTGCAAGGTGCTAGTCCCCCCAATCCTATCAACACCAGGCATCAGACGGCATAAAGCAGGGCCGGCCCATCAAGCGCCCTAGGCAAACTACTCCCGCAACGCCCCCGGCGTCCAATCCCATTCGCCTTTTTATACGCCCCTATCTACGACATCACATAGTCAGTAAATATGTGACTAGTGTTCCAACACGAGCTTTATTTTTTTTCTGGCGAGAACCACCGTATTCAAATAAAGTAGTAAGCTAAAAAAATGTTCAAATGGGCACGCAGCGGCGCAACCCTTTTGACGATTCCCTGGGTGACCTCCCGGATCACCTACCCCCAGTCCTGGTATAAAGATCTGGGAGTCTAAAAATAAGATGTTCTTTTTTCTTTGGGGCAAATTTGAAGGAGTAACCATCTTCTGCGGTTGCGTTTGTGACAAACGTTTACGATTAGGGTCGATAGGTCATTGTCAGTGTTCCATTTTGTTTTTTACTAACTGTCGCTAAGCCCGCTTAATCACATTCGGAATGCGTCGTTAGCCTACTGTTTTGATTATTAATTTGTGTTGCCCACAACGCGGCTTCGTCTTATCGTGAATAGAATTATTCTTCTTTTCACCCATAAGAGCGTCGCCTCTTTTACTATTCATTACATTCATTACACTAAACTCGGCCCTAACATTTCTCGACCAGATAACCCTAGTTATATGGTCCTTGTAACTAACTTTTCATTTTTTTTATCAATTTCTTCATGTGCGGACTGCTTCGTGGCACACCTTTAATAGCCCTGCTTTAGGTGCACTTAAAACTGGGTTTTAAGGGCTTTCAGGACAAACTCGTGAAAGAATCAGCGAAGCTGTTTGCAATCTCCACTCTGCGTGTGCCCAACAGAGTGCGCTGGTTCACCGACTTTCTAAAACAGTTAAATTGGAGAGCCTTTGCAACATTCCTAAGAAAAAGGGGTATACTGTAATACAATGCATTATACCCCATTTTCATGGGAGTACATATAAATACTCCCAAGAGTGTATCCCTTCAAATGGGGAAAAAGTTTGTCGACACATGGTTACTTTTTTGTTCAAACCAGTGTTTTATTCAACCAAAGTTTATTGCTGAGCCCTCATGGTCGTGCAAAAAATTAACAAATTATTTGCGAAAAAAAGAGAAAATAAAAAGAGAGCACAGTCAATAAAGCCAGTTTTCAAAATAATAAACATATGCAACAAATCTTACAAACTAATAATACACAAAGAAATGACTCCATAGAAGTTGAACTGTTGTCCAAGTTCATATCCTCGGCCTTTCGCTGTCGAATATGGGCGATATTCAAATTGGAGCAAAAGTAACGTTCACTCTCTTTTGAAAGTAACCGTAACGGTATATTGTTACGTTCTTAGGACGGTAACGAATCTCAGAACTCGTTAAATTTTGACGATCTAACGAGTGACGTTAGTTTGTTACATGTTTTGTGTAACGGGCACAACAGTGCCTGGGTCCCACAGGTGCCAGAAAGCCCAATACCCTCTATCGTTGCACAGCCCCTTGAAGCTGACAGTGCGGCGGGAGCTACATATTTGCCGGATCAGACAACCACCTCCCTTTTGTCGCCTGACCACGCCCTCTGCGTGGATATGGCTGGGAGCGTGTGCATGCTTCGAAAGATCGACGTATGACTGGTCCAACGGGCTTGTAGCTTCCACCGCCCTGCCGTCTTTGATCTTTGTACCTGCCATCAAGAAAAACTTTTAGCGTTCAATAAAATTGGGTGAGTATTTTATTTATTAAATGAATTGCTAATTATTTATTTTAAACGTATGGTTTCAAATAGAATCTTGCTGAGCATCATAGAAAACTACGATAAAACACCCACACTACAATGATATGAGGCACGCGCAGCATTTTACGGCGTTCTGAAGAAATACTCAATTTGGAAGCCTGTCTTGTTTTCAGCTTGATATCGGAGTGCATCTCCGCGCGGGCAATGGGGAGGCGAGATTGACCACGAGGAGATGCTCTCTGATAAGAAACCGAAAGCCAGATACGTGTCCAAATTAGGCATTTTTTTAGAACGCCGTAAAATGCTGCGCATGCCTCATGCCATTATAACATGGGTGCATTTAGTCGTTCTCGATGATGTCGAGCAAAATCATCTTTGAAACCATCCCTTTAAGACTAATAATTAACAATTTAAGTACTCAGAATTTAATAAATATCCCATTATATTGAGCTCTAGCAATTTTCCTTGGACACGCACCACTATGGGATCAGGCTTCTTTTTTGTGCGATGCGTAGTTTTTGCAGTAGCGATTTTGCCCGTTTTTCCGGAAACACACTGTATATATGTCAAAACAAATGTTTTGTACGTTTGGGAACAGGACTCCACCTCCATCAGTTCTGGCGCATTAGACAATAGTGACAACCACTGTACACTCAATGCAGATTGAGACCTATTTAGATGGATTATGCATGTACATTTCTTAGATACATGAATATACACAATGAAGTAAATTATGCCTTTAGTACAACACATGTATATGATCCGTCTACTACAAGAGGAATTTCGAATATTTAAAGGCCTGACGAATTCAAGCGAAACTGTACTTTGTCTCAGCTTAGGTCCGAGCATGGCCGATGTTATGAGCCGAAGGGCCAATCAAACAGCGAAAGAGGCACAAAGCCATGACGAGTCTTCTTCTTCTAAGCGTTGTGAAAGATGGTGGGGGGGGGGAGGAGAGGGCCAATAGTGGTTGCGCACCGGGCGCTTGGTTCTCTGCAGTTCATAGGACTACAGGACTCGCCCGTATTCGCCATCTCTCTGTGCGTGCTCCTCCACCGGCTAGTCCTATCAAGCGCAGAGAGCACGCCATGGCGTTGGGCTTTCTGCACTGTTTTATTGGCCCTCCAACTCATAACATCGTCCGCGCTCTTGCCTAAGGTGAAACAAAGTATATATGAACACCAAATGAATAGCACTAAAAGTAAGAATATCCTAAATGACCAGGGCCGTCTTCATGAATGTGCAAAAAAAAATAATAAAATCATGCAAAAGGAAAACATACATACAAGTATTTCATGTAGCAAGCACATTGAATGATACCATCAGAATTAAGATACTCAAACCAATCAAAAAGAAAAAGGACCAAGAATATCACGAAATGAGATAGGAAATTACACTGCATTTCTAAATCTTCGGAGTCACGTATATACTGTTGCAGTCCTATGAGTAAATCATTAGTTTCCAGCTTGGTGTGTTAAATAGTTTCGAATATAGTTTTATTTTTACATCTTAAAATTATGTTGACCCCTCCGCATTACTCGGTTTTTCTTGTACTTTTCTTAACATTTGCAATATTCAAGATTGCTGCTATTGAAAGACCTTAGTTATTTTATAAGTTTGTATATTTATGGTCATGAGTAGGCCGACCTGTAAGGAACATAAGTGACCCTACGGAGAACCCAGAGATTCCAGGTGCATCACGTGATCAATGACTATGAATTATTAAAAAAAGATTAGGCTTCAAGTATTTTCTTTGTTTTCGTGTACAAAAAAGAACTCTGGTCGCTTCGTCTAAGGTAAATTCACATTTTTTTATCTGTGTTTATACTGTAAATAAGAGGCTGAAACATTTTGAACCATGTGAAACACACACTGCTCGCAAGTAGAACCCCTGCAGGCCTATCGCCAAGCCAAATGAACACACGTCGGTGCTCGAGTATTTCGTTTAAACTCCTTTCACAACTATGATGCACGTAAGGGTTTCGATCACTTGCGATGTATCTTCTGATGACTGTATAAATTGGCATCAGTCGCAAACGCTCTACCGCAGGTCTTGCACTTAAACGGCTTCTCTCCGGTGTGAGTCCTCTCATGATTCGCCAACTGGTACTTCCGAGTAAACGCCCTGCTGCAAGTGTTGCACCTGAACGGCTTCTCTCCTCTATGAATTCTTTCATGACCAGCCAAGTTGCATTTCTGAGTAAACGCCCTGCTGCACGTGTTGCACCTGAACGGCTTCTCTCCTGTATGAATCCTTTCGTGATCCACCAAGGTGTTTTTATGACTAAATGCCCTGCCGCACGTGCTGCACTTGAACGGCTTCTCTCCGGTGTGAATTTTAACGTGAGATACCAAGTGAGACTTATTCGCAAACGTTTTTTCGCAGGCATCGCAACTGAAGGGCCTCTCGCCAGTGTGAGTCCTCTCGTGAACGGCGACAGCCGTGGTGGAAGAGCTTGAGTAAGGACAGAAGCGGCACGGGTGCTTGTTCGGTCGTCGGTGCGTCTGCTGCTTGTGTGGGCCCGAATTGTTGGTCTGGGGAGAGGTGTCACCTCTGCGGCTGTCACGGTCAAAGGTATCCACTTTGTCGCCATAGCACGCTCCGATGCAGTCTGTTGGGATGACATGAGAGAGGAAGAAAGGTTGGCGCATTTTTTATAGTTCTAAACATGGTCCAGTAGACCTACATTATGCCCGTGCGGCCTACAGTGGGTATTCATTCATTTGAGATGTTAAAAAGGTTCATTCGCAATGCTTGTAAATGTCCACAGGCCATCATTAAAGACTTGACACTGGCAGCCCCATAGGAAGCGAGCAAGCCGGCCGTGTCGCGGCGGTCGCCTATTGTTCGCCGCGACCTGGCGGTAGCCGCCGCAGGAGCATCGGGCAGCAATGGCGCCGAACAGCACGGCGGACAGTGTCCCCGTCGTGATTACGACGGAATTTAAGGCAGTTACGAGTTCGTAAAGTTCCTTCGGAAGCCGGTGCCGCCGGCTCAGAATCATCGCGAAGTTATAGCAACGAACAGCACAGAGGACAGTGGGCGACTAAGAATCCGGAAAGCTTCTTCGGTAGCCGGGGCAGAATCATCGGGGGGAAGCAATGGCGATTAGCATCACAGCGGACAGTGTTCCCGGGTGATTACGACGGGGTTTAAGGCGGTTACGAATCTAGAAAGCTTCTTCCGTGGTACCAATATGACGAAGAGAAAACTGTTTCATGAATCTGGCCGCGTGTGCGACGTGAAGGAGGTCCGTTTCGACGGACAAGTGGATGTCACGGAGCGCCGTACTCTGCAAACAAAATTAAACGCGCCCGCAAAAAAGTTTTGTTGGCGTTCAGTGGACTGCGGTAATTATGTACTTTTATTTCTGAATCAGCTTGACAATAACTGGGCGATTTTTTTTCGCGCCGTTCCGCGATTCTCTTTACTATCTTCCTGTAGGCTGATGGAAACATCCAACGGTAGGCCTATGAGGGCGACAGCATTCCGCTTCTCGATTACGGTGAAGTATTTGCTGCAAACTTTAGAGTTTGCCGTCGGTGTCAATGCTGTTCCATCGTCGCTAGAAGAGAAAAAAAGTTAATTGTATTATTCGTCAGCAACTTAAACAAAGCGCGAACTGGAAGGTAAGAAACACCACTAACCTGTATGGACGCACAAGTCGTACCCAGGTCCCGCAGTACTCCGCCTCGTACGGCTTCGAAGGGACGATGTAGTACTTCGTGCCGTGCGCGATCTTGCCGATCACGCAGCAATTGTTCCGGATTTCTTGGTGCGGAATAGCCAGTGGGAATAGCCATCTCAGAAATTACAGCACTAACCCACTACAGCGCACAACCAACGCAGCGACTGGCAGAAGATGCCCGATGCAACGGACCCGTTTGCCGCTAGGGGCGCCCTGGTCGGGGCTTGAATTAGATTCGCACGGTTCCTATGGTGCGGCAGCTGTGGTGACTTGCACATTCTGCTAACCAAATGCGGAAGGGAAGTCAAGCCGCCGCTGCAGTGTTGGCGGTAACGTTACAAGTAACGTTGTTACCGATAACGTCTTACTTTTGTTAGTAACATGGTAACGTAATCGTTACTTTTCCATGACATTTACGGGTAATGTACCCACGTTAGTTATTTCAAGTAACGGGTAACATAATTACGTTACTCGTTACATCTTCCGAAAACTTAAAAAATGATGTTAGGACAGAAGGAGCGGGTTGGTAGGGATAATTAAACTTGAGGAAGACATTTGTCTCTCACCCTTATTTTCTTCCTCAAGTTTAATTGAAAAACGAACACCTGTATTTTATTTCAGTTTATTTTAATCTGAAATTATTTATGCATATGTATAGCTATTGTTGCTCTTCACTGCATAAAAGATCGCTTAGATGGTCATTGTTAGAAACTTGTCAAAAGGCACTACTCGTCACATGCTTAGTGGTTCGGAAGTTCAAAGCTATGTCTTTTCGACCTAAATAATTGTGCCAATAGTAAAAAAAAAAGAAAGAAAATATATTAATAAATGCAAGGAGAAAAATCCGGAGAAAAAAATACCTATCAAGAATTCGTCGGAAGTGTTAACCCTAGTTGTATGTGAGATAACCCTAGTTGTAAGTCCTTGTAACTAACTTTTCATTTTTTATCAATTTCTTCATGTCCGGACTGCTTCGTGGCAGACCTTTAATAGCCCTGCTTTAGGTGCGCTTACAACCGGGTTTAAGGGCTTTCAGAACAAACTCATGAAAGAATCAGCGAAGCTGTTCGCAATCTCCACTCCGCGCATGCCCAACAGAGTGCGCTGGTTCGCCCACTTTCTAAAACAGTTAAATTGAAGAGCCTTTGCAACATTCTCAAGAAAAAGGGGTATACTGTAATATAATGCATTACACACCATTTTCATGGGAGTACCTATAAATACTCCCAAGAGTGTATCCCTTCAAATGGGGAAAAAGTTTGGCGACATGTGGTTACTTCTTTGTTCAAACCAGCGTTTTATTCAACCAAAGTTTATTGCTGAGCCCTTATTGTCGTGCAAAAAATTAATGAATTATTTGCGAAAAAGAGAAAATAAAAGAGAGCATAGTCAATAAAGCCAGTTTTCAAAATAATAAACATATGCAACAAATCTTACAAACTAATAACACACAAAGAAATGACTCCAAAGAAGTTGAACTGTCGTCTAAGTTCATATCCTCGGCCTTTCACTGTCGAATATGAGTAATATTCAAATTGGCGCAAAAGTAACGTTCATTCTTTTTTAAAAGTAACCGTAACGGTATATTGTTACGTTCTTAAGACGGTAACGAATCTCAGAACTCGTTAAATTTTGACGATCTAACGAGTGACGCTAGTTTGTTACATGTTTTGTGTAACGGGCACAACAGTGCTTGGGTCCCACAGGTGCCAAAAGCCCAATACCCAATATCGTTGCACAGCCCCTTGAAGCCGACAGTGCGGCGGGAGCTACATATTTGCCGGACCAGACAACCGCCTCCCTTTTGTCGCCTGACCACGCCCTCTGCGTGGATATGGCTGGGAGCGTGGGCATGCTTCGAAAGATCGACGTATGACTGGTCCAACGGGCTCGTAGCTTCCACCACCCTGGCGGCTTTGGCCCTTTGCACCTGCCATCAAGAAAAACTTTTAGCATTCAGTAAAATTGGGTGAGTATTTTATTTAATAAATGAATTGCTAATTATTTATTTTAAACGCATGATTTCAAATAGAATCTTGCTGAGCATCACCGAATACTACGATAAAACACCCACGCTACAATGATATGAGGCACGCGCAGCATTTTACGGCCTTCTGAAGAAACACCCAATTAGGAAGCCTGTCTTGTTTTCGGCTTCTTATCGAAGTGAATCTCCGCGCGGGCAATCGGGAGGCGAGATTGACCACGAGGAGATGCTCTCCGATAAGAAACCGAGAGCCAGATACGTGTCCAAAGTGGGCATTGTTTCAGAACGCCGTAAAATGCTGCGCGTGCCTCATGCCATTATAACATGGGTGCATTTAGTCGTTCTCGGTGATGCCGAGCAATTTTATCTTTGAAACCATCCCTTTAAGACTAATATTTAACAATTTAAGTACTCAGAATTTATTAAATATCCCATTATATTGAGCTCTAGCAATTTTTCTTGGACACACACCACTATGGGACCAGGCTTCTTTTTTGTGCAATGCGTAGCTTTTGCAGTAGCGATTTTGCCCGTTTTTCTGTTTGGGAACACGACTCCACCTCCATCGATTCTGGCACATTAGGCAATAGTGACAACCACTGTACACTCAGCGCAGATTGAGACCTATTTAGATGGATTATGCATATACACTTTTTAGATACATGAATATACACAATGAAGTCAATTATGCCTTTAGTACAACACATGTATATGATCCGTCTACTACAAGAGGAATTTCGAATATTTAAAGGCCTCACGAATTCAAGTGAAACCGTACTTCGTTTCAGCTTAGGTCCGAGCGTGGCCGATGTTAAGAGCCGAAGGGCCAATCAAACAGCGAAAGAGGCACAAAGCCATGACAAGTTCTCTGCAGTTCATAGGACTATAGGACTAGCCCGTATTCGCCATCTCTCTGTACGTGCTCCTCCACCGGCTAGTCCTATCAAGCGCAGAGAGCACGCCATGGCGTTGCGCTTTCTGCACTGTTTTATTGGCCCTTTAACTCATAACATCGTCCGCGCTCTTGCCTAAGGTGAAACAAAGTACATATGAACACCAAATGAATAGCACTAAAAGTATGAATATCCTAAATGATCAGGGCCGTCTTCATGAATGTGCACAAAAAATAATAAAATCATGCAAAAGGAAAACATACATACAAGTATTTCATGTAGCAAGCACATTGAATGATACCATCAGAATTAAGATACTCAAACCAATCAAAAAGAAAAAGGACCAAGAATATCACGAAATGAGATAGGAAATTACACTGCATTTCTAAATCTTCCGAGTCACGTATATACTGTTGCAGTCCTATGAGTAAAGCATTAGTTTCCAGCTTGGTGTGTTAAATAGTTTCGAATATAGTTTTATTTTTACATCTTAAAAGTATGTTGGCCCCTCTGCATTACTCGGTTTTTCTTGTACTTTTCTTAACATTTGCAATATTCAAGATTGCTGCTATTGAAAGACCTTAGTTATTTTATAAGTTTGTATATTTATGGTCATGAGTAGGCCGACCTGCAAGGAACATAAGTGACCCTACAGACAACCCAGAGATTCCAGGTGCATCACATGATCAATGACTATAAATTAATAAAAAAAGATTAGGCTTCAAGTATTTTCTTTTTTTCGTGTACAAAAAAGAACTCTGGTCGTTTCGTCTAAGGTAAATTCAATTTTTTTATCTGAGCTTATACTGTAAATAAGAGGCTGAAACATTTTGAACCATGTGAAACACACACTGCTCGCAAGTAGAACCCCTGCAGGCCTATCGCCAAGCCAAATGAACACACGTCGGTGCTAGAGTGTTTCGTTTAAACCCCTTTCACAACTATGATGCACGTAAGGGTTTCGATCACTTGCGATGTATCTTCTGATGACTGTATAAATTGGTAACAGCCGCAAACGCTCTACCACAGGTCTCGCACTTAAACGGCTTCTCTCCTGTATGAGCTCTTTCGTGACCCACCAAGTTGCATTTCTGAGTAAACGCCCTGCTGCACGTGTTACACCTGAACGGCTTCTCTCCTGTATGAATCCTTTCGTGATCCACCAAGTTCCTTTTCTGAGTAAACGCCCTGCTGCACGTGTTACACCTGAACGGCTTCTCTCCTGTATGAATCCTTTCGTGATCCACCAAGGTGTTTTTATGACGAAATGCCCTGCCGCACGTGCTGCACTTGAACGGCTTCTCTCCGGTGTGAATTTTAACGTGAGATATCAAGCGAGACTTATCCGCAAACGTTTTTTCGCAGGTATCGCAACTGAAGGGCCTCTCGCCAGTGTGAGTCCTCTCGTGAATGGCGACAGCCGTGGCGGAAGAGCATGAGTAAGGACAGAAGCGGCACGGGTGCTTGTTCGGTCCTTGGTGCGTCTGCTGCTTGTGTGGGCCCGAATTGTTGGTCTGGGGAGAGGTGTCACCTCTGCGGCTGTCACGGTCAAAGGTATCCACTTTGTCGCCATAGCATGCTCCGATGCAGTCTGTTGGGATGACACGACAGAGCAAGAAAGGTTGGCGCATTTTTTATAGTTCTAAACATGGTCCAGTAGACCCACATTATGCCCGTGCGGCCTACAGTGGGTATTCATTCATTTGAGATGTTAAAAAGGTTCATTTGCAATGCTTGTAAATGTCTACGGGCCATCATTAAAGACTTGACTCTGGCAGCCCCATGGTGCGGCAGATGTGGTGGCTTGCACGTTCTGCTAACCAAATGCGGAAAGAAAGTCAAGCCGCCGCGGTCGCCGCTGCACAGTGTTGGCGGTAACGTGTTACAAGTAACGTTGTTACTGATAACGTCTTACTTTTGTTAGTAATGTGGTAACGTAATCGTTACTTTTCCATGACATTTACGGGTAATGTACCCACGTTAGTTATTTCAAGTAACGGGTAACATAATTACGTTACTTGTTACATCTTCCGAAAACTTGAAAAATGATGTTAGGACAGAACGAGCGGGTTGGTAGGGATCATTAAACTTGAGGAAGACAACAATTGTCTCTCCCTTCTTGTTTTCTCCCTCAAGTTTTATTGAAAAACGAACACCTGTATTTTTTGCCAGTTTCTATACTTCGTTTTACCTGAAGTCCAGACGCAGCTGACGCTACAAGCTGATGGAAATTATCAGAGAGGGAAAAGGGAACCATCATGGTGTTCTCTGTGTTTCTGTACGTGTTCTTTCATCGCTGAAATAAACAAACAAGGCCGAGTGACTTGTGATTTCGACGCTGATTGATTTGTCCGACTGGCTCGTAGCGTAGGCTACGTCTAGAGTTAAGCTGAAACGTAGTACATGATTCAAGTAATTAATTATTGCACTCATTCTACATATTTTCTAAATTTTGCCTGTTTTTTCCTGACGCAAAAATTTCCGCTTTAGGAAAACCCCAACGCCCGCGCCTGTCATCCCAGTGTCGAAACACGCTGTCGTCAAAATAAAACAAAAGCACTGTTACCGTCTATTTGTAAAAAAAATGTAATGCAAAAGTAACGTGCCTTACTTTCTGTCGATAACGATACCGCGTTCCTTTATTTCACAAGTAACGAGTAACATATTTCTTTACTTTTTTTTTAGGTAATGCCTACAACACTGCGGCTGCGTACCGCTGCCAGTACGGCAGCGGTATGCATTCATAATGATTGTGACTGTGTATTAAGTAATGCTGGAAAGGTCGTTCACACACCCACAGATTATTAGGTTACACAAAATAGCATTCAATAGGCTCGTAGAATAATCGTTGTGTACCTTAGAAACTTGAAAAATCACTAAGGTACACAGCGAATATTTTCTGAGCGATTTGAAACAGGGAAAAACGCAGTTCTATATCGACATTGATATGGACATTTGCCAGTCTAAAGCGACTTCGGCAACATAAATTAATGTTGTGAAAAAAGCTTCGATCATTTGAAGCAGCGAAACCTTTTTGGGCTATTTCATGTGTTGAAAATAATTTATAGCATTTGTGAGAGCTACTCAATCAACCACAACTAAAGGAAAAAAGACAATTTTGTAATAAATAAGCAACTCAGCATGATAAATTTCTCCGATATTAAATGATATGTATCAATTGCAACTTTGAGTGCTCGGACTGAATGTTCCTTCAGTTGAGCCCAGCTTGTTTGTTTACTTTCACTTGAGTTGTAGTTCTTGGACTTTGGAGTGTAACACCCCCCTTTCATAAGAAACAAAAACAAAAAGAAAACATTAAATTTTGTTGCAATATTTTTTTTTTCGGTTTGGTGCAGGCGGCTAAATAAAACTTAATGAAGTTTCCACATGGGGAAAAGTTTGTGCACCACATCAGACTCCTCACGTTTTCCATTTTCTGGAAAACCGAGCCTACAAAAAGGTTTCCTACCCGTGTGGGGACCGTTCATGAATCTGCGAGGGTGTGCTAAGGAGGTGCGAGGCTGATTGAGTATTGTCTCGTGTGCGTCTTCTCATACCTGGTCTTGTTAGTTCTGTGGGCACCATAAGATTGGGATCAGAAGTCGCACTGCCGTCTGTCCTCCCCTCCTGGTCCATCTTCCATGGTTGCCTCTGCAATTCGGCTCCTTGGAAGGAGGGCTCCGCCCCCTTGTCCTCGCAGTCCGTTCTCTGCCATTCGGAGTCGAATGCTGCGTGGGCAAGTTCTGTTAGGACTGAAGATCAAATTTTCTTCAGTATCATTTTTTTTATACTACACCAATACAGAAGCCCAATCAGAACAAACTTAAAGAACAAGCAAACATAGACACATCATGCTGATGAAGTAGAGAAATTCAGTGGTTTACATTCGTATTGCAGTGTAATTCAAAGGGTAAAATAATCATATCACGAAAAAACACGGGCATCAAACTGAATACTCAAAATCCCGAAAAAATTGATTGTAAAAATTGCACGTGAATCATACATAAAGGCAGTCCTTCTCTATTAAATACATACTTCAAAAGTTTCACTTCACCTCGAACATGTGGTAAAGGATTACATCAATACAGTCCCACACAAATCGACAAAGACACAACTAAATACCATCGAGGAGGGGGGTTTAGTTACGTCACTCCCACTCTGTAGTGCTGAAAAAAAGGCAGGCATGCCACAGAACCAACAACTGTACGGCATATCACCGCCACAGCTTTTGGGAATTGCACGTCAACAAAACGGGCACGGTGTGTCGGCAAACAAAGGTAGGGAACGGAATAAAAATGTTGCATGTAGTTGGCTGAGCTGTGGCGTTCCTTATTTGATCCGACTTGTTCGTCCCATTCATCTGGGAAAAAATGTAGCCCAAACGTCTCGCACTGCAAAAGTTGACCTGGCTGGTGGCTGGCCCTTTTTTCTAGGCAGCGAAGGGTTGCTCACATTTAAGAGCATTTCCGGTTAGCTCGGCCTGCAAAGTTGAGAAGAATAAGTATTAATAAACAGTCCCCAACACAAAGTTACTTTACATGCCCTCAATTATCGTCACATTGGACGAGCGAAACTAAAACTGAAGGGTACCAGTGCAGTTAGCAAATGATTACGAATTACGACGCGGAGACGAGAAAAAAGAAGGCAACAAATGAATAACGCGCATTTGCAGTTCAGTTTTATCAAGTAAAAAACTGAAGGCCACTTTCCAGATTAAACAGGGCATGGATAACAACACCATTTGTCAGTAGGGGGTACCTGCGAGAAATTTCAATCTGAAGGACGCGGGAAAAGTAAGTCCTATGCGACCATACAATTTCCAAGTGTGAATGTTTTGGCCAAATAACACTGACCATTTCTATTTCCACGAGAGATGTTTCATAATATATGCAGCGTCATACCGCTAGCAAGGAGGAAAATGTTTGCCGGTTCCGTCTGTGCCGCATCCACGCGACTAACGCCATCATTTATGAAATTATGAGCAGTGTAGATCAATCAGTCAGCCTTGCATTTAGCCAAGCACTAACATCAGTGGGGCCCACTTAGAGAGAATGCGTTTTAGCTGAGATACTTGGTTCACGTTCACGGGTAAACAGCTCTTTAGATCATCCAGAAGTTGATTATAAAACATAATTTGGTTAAGTGATCTCCAGTATAAATTGATCACCATTCATCACTAGTATAAAATTTACAATCCCTATTGCAACGCAAATGTTTCTTTTTCTTTCATCCAACTCAAGACAAGCTTGAGTGGCCTTCTCTTGATCGTCTTCATTAAAGAGAAGCTGAAATACTTATTCCAAAAAACGAGATAGAGGTTGACCCCAGCGTAGTTTTATCCCGTAAATCTGAATATTTCGTTCATTTTCCCCGAAGATGTAACTAAACCGAGAACACACGAAAAAACCCCGACCAGTCGTTACATCATGAAAGGATATTTCGTCCTCCAAGCACGTGTCGCTCGTGAGCAATAGACCTCGTTCAGATCCGGCCGCCATCTGTCGGACGTGGCGCCAACCTTCCTTCCGACGCCATTTTTGAGGCGACTGGCAGAGCGCTGTGGCCGTTTGTAACGTGTGAAAGTGGCGCGCAGCAACCGCATGACTGCTGTTCTGCTACGTATTCAACGAGGAAATAAAATTAAAAACAACCAATGCAAACATTCCGATTGTATTGTTTTAGAGCGCAGCTCTTAGGCGCCCGTTCCCGGCTTGGGCGGCGTCGGCGTAACCGCAACCCTCGTAACCCTCGTGAGGGTTATGAGGGTTTTTCTTTTAAAGGGCATTAAAGCCAATGTTTGAATAGCCATAGCGCTTTCCTGTGCTATTCATGCTCCCTAAAAGAGAACCTGCGGCGTTAGTGTTGTGTTCTTACAGGGCTCCTAAACATATCATTAATATATGACACTTTCCATGATGGCATGAAGGGCTCATGATATTTGTATGTAACATCTCCAAGCATCTCAGGGTTTACAAGATGTCGATTAATTACCAGCTCGCCTGCACTCTCTCACTGCTTACAATATTATTTTATCTGATTTTTTGGGAGCTTGATGTTGGATAGCATCGTAGCTTCGCTCGTGCAGAGCAACGGGGAGGTCCGGTCAACATCGCCCAGATACACTGTTTTGCACTTGATTTTCTGTTTTGTTTTTCTCACTCAAGTAGGTCTTTCACAACCGATTGAAGGCTGATGCAAAGTGCAGAAGAGCCAGGCGACGTGACAACTTTGTTTCGCACATGAATGTTAAAGGAAACGGTGCTAAAAAGCACCGTTTCTGGTGCTTTTTAGCACCGTGCTGCAGGCACGGTGCTAAACTACTGCAGGCAACCACTTTTATGAGCACTGGTCATATTGTATTGTTTAGCACCGTGCTGCATTGTTTAGCACCGTGCTGCAGGCACGGTGCTAAACATACTGCAGGCAACCACTTTTATGAGCACTGGTCATATTGTATTGCGAGTAAGCATGAAATTCAAAAGCCCTCCGAGCTATGTGACCGCACTACCAGGGCCCGTTTTCTCGAACGCGAACCGTGGGTTAAAGTTAACTATTGTCCCTAGAAGAGGGAATTCTAGGTCACGTGACTGGGAGAGCAGGGGTGCCGAGGGAGGAGCAGTACCTACAATCAAAATGGCCGCGACGTCGCTTAATGAGGGCTAATAGTTCTTCTTGGTTCTGCTGAACATTCATTTCGATCCGGCTGTTATATTAATGACGCACCATCAACCTATTAGCACGTCAAGCAAAGCGGTAGTTCAGAGGGACTACTAAACTAATCGACGACAGCATTCCGCGAACGCATCACTCTTCAGCAGTCCAGGATCCAAGACATATGACGGTACACAATTCTTGCAAGTGTTTTTATGGTGAGTAAAAAAGTATTTTGCAAACGAGTGTTAGTATATATTTATACTAACACGTTTAATTTGTTACACTATGCACACCAACTCGTGAGCAACGATGACTTTGCGAAGGATGGGGGTTATCCTCGATAAAGTCTTCATTCCGGGCGAACAGCTGGGACATTGTACTGTTTTCTTGTTCGCAGTGCGGCGATAGTATGCCGACAGCATTGAGGTTTCTACATATCCCCGGTGGCCAGCAATTCAACGGTGACGAGAAGCTTAGCTCCTCGTCACCGGTGGATCGGTTGGGCAAAAGGAAAAGGGGGCGAACAGTTGAGATCAGCAGGAATTCCAGAAACACGCGTCGCAAGGAACAAAAACGAGAATACAGCACCGGTGTCGCCAGACTGGAAGGCACACAGGAAAGTTATGCATTGTTTATGGCGAAACATTTTGAAGGAAATGTTTCTTACATTTTCGAATATTCGGCGGCAAACTCTAGCATAGTAGCTAAAATTTCTTCGTACCATCTGAAGCAAATAAATTGGTCTTCAAGTACAACATTACTATATTTTTACTTAAAACACCATACTAGATCGATAACAACCCGGAAAAAGAGGATTAATAAAATGACTGGCTTGTTTCACCGACAGATGGCGCATCTTACTGCCCAATCAAAATTATTGTTCTATATCCAGCCGTTTATTACAGTACCTAGGTAGTTTTCCCTTCCTAGGCACCGTGGTTTACCAAAATGGGTTTACCATCGCTTCGAGAAAACCGGCCCAGGAGGAGCACATTAAAATGTCGCTGACGTTTATTTCTGCATTTTCTCTAAAGGGGCCGAAGAGTATATATGCACAAGTACTGAATTTTTTTGTTAGTACTATTATCATGATTATAAAAGTAAAATGTTTTACTTCCCGCGGAATGGTGATTTTTTTTTTTAATAAGTTATATTTTGCGTACTTGCACCGCGGCGACACACCGGTCATTTCCTTTTACGCTTTTGTGCCTCGCATACGCTTGTGTGAGTATGCTAGTGTAGGTCTTCAGCGGAGTTTTTATTTTTTACTTGACGCACACCTTATAATTTTGTTTTGAGCTACTATTTAATGATCTCCCCTAGGAACTGAATACAAATTTATTTAAAAATTTAATTTCATGTTTTTTTTTTGTGTATGTGTGGAATTATATCTGCAATATTCCTAAGGTTAAGACAACTGGGATCAAAGATTAAACGTTAACGCACCCATCATAGAACTCTGCAATTCGGGTCTGCACACGCCAGCTGTGAAGGCACACTGGGCGAAGAACTTCTTGCATTCTTTAGACCCGCAGCCGCAAATGCCAAATAAAAACAAACTATCCTACAGGGGCTGACGGCCCCGCAATATATATCATACAAATCTTCCTTGTGCAAACAGGCATTATCAGCTGGTCAGGCAAGTTAACGCACGATTCTAAAACAAGTGCCCGAGTCGGCCTGCTCTGGTGCTGGAATGAAGCTCATTTTTCTAAAAAGAACTTATTGAAACCACTGAAAACAAACTAGCGCTTAATATTCGTAACTTATTCTCGAGCAACTAACACTACCAGTATACTAAAAAGAAAAACTAATAAAAAACATGCCCGAATGTTATGCGGGGAGAGGGGTTCGTACTGCGTCAGGCGTCGGGGACGGTGAAGCCTCAAAGATGGCGCCGAGCCCCTGATGGTACCTGTGGCCGCCGAGAGAGGACGCTAATAATGAATTAGGTTTATTGCAGGCTTCCCACTCCCCGCACTACGTCTTTTTCTTTTTTAAATAGCAAGTGTTGTGTGCATAACTTTGATAGGCACTGAAGATGCGTGAGAGCGGAGATTCCGGAAACTCCTTTTATGACGGCACGCTCCGGGAACGAGGGGCTTCAGCGGTACTTTGAAAATTATTCTCTGCTGCCTCCGTGCATGAAATTGAAAAATAATTTCGACATTGGACTTCCTGGAGGGCAAATTAAGACAATTTAAGTGTTTCCTCAATTACAAAACTGCTTCAGCTTCCCTTTGAAGATGTCTTATCTTCAAGACCCCCATAGCTCGACACGTTTCAAATCCTTCGTTAGTTCATTCGTAGTTTTGTTTATGCATTTTTAACAACTTTTAGCCACCTCCTCTGTAAAGTCTTCCCAGACCCTGAGGGCATGGTTTAGGCTGAAACATGGCTCTTACCAGGGACGTAGCCAGGATTTTGGTTCGGGGGGCGGGTGTTCATGACAAAATGCTGTATGAGGGGGAGGGGGGTGAGGAGGTCCCAGCAAAATAGGAAGATTGGTCCCCCCCCCCCGGCTACATGCCTGGCACTTATTACTGATTTTGTTCAGCCCTGTTTCGCCAGCTTTTCAAAACCAACTTATGGGGTCGGTGTTTGGTTCCTGGTGAGAGCGATAGCATTCTCGGTTACTGGTTGGACATGACGTCCCAGCGTTTTGCTCTGCGAGAGTTATCGACCAATGATAATCTTTAGTCTGTTCGTGGGTCCTTTTGGTGAGAGCTTCTCACTAACACAGGGATGGTGACAAAAGTTTCCAGGTATTTAAAGTATTTGTCCCGAGTACTACATACATAGGAGAATTTCAGCTATATACGGGAGTAGATAGCATCAAACCGGAAGTAAAGAAGACCATTATAGTTTCAGCTTGCGTCCCGTATAACTTTGTCGCGGCACTCAGCTTCTAGCAGACGGCTGCCTATATTCCGGTCCGTTAATGGAAGACGTGAAAGTATTTTCTTGTTTTCTTTTTGTCTGCGAATGACGCTTCATAGCATACAAATTATATTGTTCACTTACGTTAGCAGACCAATCATCTGCAGTAGTTTTCTTCATTCGCTCCGCAAAGTCCCGGTCACACTGCTCGTACAGCAAGCGAAAGACAAACTGCAAACACCGTCTGAGGCACGTTTCTCGTGTCTACCAAAACATCTGCGGACCTGTTCGAAGCACACATATGTGTTCGCTAGGAGCATGTCTGCAGACAGCTTTGGTAGGCACAAGATGAAAGTACTGTCATAAAGGAACCAATTTCGGCAGTTCACACACTTGTGAATGCTTACGACCGGAGGAGCTTGTGAACCATCTTGTGACTGCTGATGGCCAGCCGCTGCGCTGCCACTCATAAGAAGTCGCCAGCGATTTAAGCATCTCCGGTTGTAAGCATGGCAGTAAATGAGTACACCTACCTTTACTTGAGCAAACAATAAGGCAAACACGCATATAGTGCACACTGTTTCACCGTTTTAGAAAGAAGACACCACCTTCAGAGATTCTACATAATAAACCAAAAGTAAGACACACTATTTGTCTGCATTAAGGCATACGTAGAGGGATTATACAGTTCAAATAAATAAATTGTTGAAAGCCTCCGCTAGGCTTTGAAAAGGGGGGGGGGGGTGGTTGAGGGCGGTTGGTCGGCAAAGTAAGACAAGACTGACAATGGAAAGTTCGCGTGCAGCAGGCTCAACTGTAGCCGTCTCATTTGATCTGACTCTGTCGCATTCGTGTAAAGACAAAATGTAGCACAAAGGCGTTGCACCACCGAACGGGGCTCGGCTGACGACAGGCCACCTTTCCAAAGCTGTGAAGTGTCGTTCACATCTGCGTCCAAATTCCTGCAGAGCTTGATCTGCAAGGCTTAGAAAGACGACGGTTAATAAACAGGAAGGAACGGAAAGCGACAATACTCGTTTGTACCCTTAACTACGTATATCCAGCAAACTGAAACTGGGTGCGAAATTAAAAAAAAAAAGAAGCAGGCATCGCAATTGAGGAATGAAAGAGCACAATTAAGATTTACATTTGAATGAGATGAGTATGCACTGATCACCCCAACCAGTTAATATTCAGAGCCAACCTAGCGAATCAGTACATCAAATTTATCGTCCACTTCAACCCCTGCTATATTATGCTGTGATTGAAATTCTGTTCTCGTGAATTAAACACTCTGTATTCCGAAAACACAATGAGTATTAAAACTTGGTTTGGGGCTGAGGCGTATGAAGATGCGTCCCATTAGGTCTCAGATTAATGAGGGTGACCGCAGTACAGCTGCGTTTGCATATTCGGGTGTCAGTCGTCCCAGCTCTCTCTTCTTCTTAGAAGTTGTTTAGATTTCAATGTCTGCTGTGTCAATCTTCTTTCCTTTGTCATTCTGTACTGCTTTGACCGACTGTTAAAGAGACACATCACGTATGAGATTAATAAATTGTTGAGTTTTCTAGCTGAGGAACAACCTTAGGTATCTACTTCTACCGGTTGATAACTCCAGTCCTGAACAAGATAACAACCCAGTTAAAAATACCCATTGGGTCCAATTGGATTTTCCAATTGGTACCAATTGCCAAAATCGGTTGTGTTTTGGAACGCCCCGTTGGAAAAAATGAAAACTGGTTCAATATTACCAATTGGTTTTTTTCCAGTTGGCACCATGACCAACTGTGTTTTAGAACACCCAATTGGAAATATCTCAATTGGTTTTTTTTCCAATTGGAATCATAACCGACTGTGTTTTGGAACGCCCAATTGGAAAAATACCAATTGCTGTGGTTCTGATTAGAATGGTTCCAAGCGGAACCACACCAATAGGTATTTCTCCAATTGGTCTGAAATTCCCTTTAGAAAACCGCCAGTTCACACATTTCTAATTCAAACTATAACCAATTAGAAAGATAGCTAGCAAGAGAAATTGGTTTTCTGATGCATTAGCAACTTACACAGCCAAAGGAAGGACTCCTAAATGAAATTTCAAATTGAGCATGTCTCACATAAGTACGTCTAGATATGCCAGTTGGATATGTTCCTAACAAATAGGGTTTTACTATATACAAAACATTTGAAGCCTGTTCTGAAATAATACATTATTTTAGAAACACACCTTTTCTATTATTTTTTTTTTTTTAATGAGTTCTTTGCAGTCAGGCTAAATGGTGCCAAACACCTTTGCAAGATATGAGAAACAAGCAAAATTAAAAGGAGCACATTTATTACAATAGAAAAGGAAACACTAAAACCTAGTTCAGACCAAAAAGGATTTTTCTTTTTCCTTTTACCAAGAGTAGGACGATTCCTGAAAGACGCTATGACGTCCTTGAGCATTTGTTTAGCGTCCCCCCCCACAGTTATTATGCAGATATGCTCTTGGACAACACTTGTTCTCTGGATGGTCTGCGGACACTGTAAATAGTCACAAACTGGATTTTAATCTATTAACATCAGAGCTGCATTCTTCTTGCTTGAAATTCTGAAATGAACGAGTACATTAGCAAAAATGCCAGTCGGTATCATGACGTGGGTAAAACATGAAAGCATAGAAATCAATTAAAGCTAGATAATAAGGACAATAAGTTAGTATGGGCTTCTGAATTATGATAGTGATCCAAGGCTTGTCGAAAATTTTGGAAGGATAAATGGCTCACAAGTCTAACACACCTGGCAGCAGAGAGTTGAGTGTTGTCCGTTCAATTCAATAGTTTTCTGCCATCTTGAGCTTATACATCAAAATTAGTCCCTTTTTACATACCTAGTGAGAGAAATTTACTATGTTGTTATCAGCTGAGAGGGGATCCAAAGCTTTGCAGTCAGACAAATTTGGGGGTTTTACATACCAACCAATGACGGGCGTCTGGCATGCGCCAGTGGAGGTTTGAGGATTAATGGGACCACCTTAGTATCTTTTGGCATGTAACCGAAAGCATGGTCACACGGACCCTTATCTGCAATAAGCATCCATCAAATTGCGGGCACCTCGGCCGGGATTCGAACCCGCCGCCTGGGCATCCGTAGGCCGGCGCTTTGCCTTGGAGCCAAGGCTTTGCAGTGCGACCATTCGTTTCAACAATTTTGACTGCAAAGAACTATTCGTTCTGTGCACACTGGATCTCGGAAAGGATACAATTGAGGAGTTTCAGCGACGGTGTCACCGCCCTGGCGGCCGGTCGCCGAAAGAGAACGAGGGGGATAGGTTCGCTGGGCGGTGGCTTTGTGTATATGCGTTGGCCACGAACGTAGTCTTATAAACTTCGGCAGCAAGAATATTACGCGGCTCTAGTGTTTCGGTACGAGCAACAGAGGTGACACGATCTGCTACGACCAGCAACGACCACCCGCCGCAGCGATGCAGGCGTCGAAGGAGCGCAACCTGTGTACTACGCAGTCAGCCGCCGTCGCCCGACGCAGATCGTTCGGCATTCAGGGCTTTCCGCCCCGGGTTCTTTGCTTGTACTTGGAACCGAGTATTATTTCCTGTGCTTGTGTATGTGTTCAGTGGCTGGATATGGACCTCATACAGCAGTTCTTCAGACTCAACAGCGATTCAAAGTTGACGGCGGAAGGGCTTGCGGCAAACGCTTTCGGTTGGTGCACGGCTGCGACGACTACACGGATAAATTTTAAGATTGCTGCTAGCAAGGTGGGCCATAGTCGCTTTATGTTGACACGATTTTAAGTGTAAGTACTCCGTGCAAAGGTGAATCTATCGCGTTTCTAATCCACCTTTGTTTTTGTTGTTTTTAACACGCACGAGACTGCTAAGCAAATGCTTCTGTACCGATCACAGAGTGAATGTCTTCGGCCTTACATTGCGGAACGCCCAATAAAAAGTCATGTTCGTTCAGCAAGAAAACTTCCCTTTCGAGTGACCTTCCGATTGATAATTTCTCCCGTACTTGAATGCTTTAATCAACATGATCGATTAAGTTTGCTTCCCTAGTTAGGACATTTTTGTGCTACATGCGGCACTAATGCTTGGCACGATGTTTGCCACTGGTGGTATTGTGAATTGGCTTACTTTCAAAGCTAACAGTGTGACAGGTGGGACCATTCAATTTGCTAAAAATGAGATGATATGGGAATTACGTTGCATAACTAGCGTTTTACGTTTAAGATTGATAAGAAACATGCTCGTGTGATGATGCATGTCTACAGCATAAGCTTTGCAGATCCAGAATGGGTGCGCTCGTGGCTACACCCTTAAGGTTTTTAATGGACCAAATTGGTGATTACACGGCAATAAATGTTGTGGTGAAAAACAGCCCATTGACTCAGTGAGTTTTGATTGTGACCATTGGTGTGCTGTTGGCAAATTAGATAATGGCACACCTATTCCCTGACCATCTGGCTTCAAGGGGCATTGCATCTAGATGTGCTCAAATATCTTTATTTCAAGGTTCAGTGGACCCCTCTGCATCATTACAGGAAGGCAGTCTCAAGCCACAACAAACAGCAGTGAATATACAATGCATAATAACAGGCACCAGTGTCCAGGCATATAGTCTGCAGTAATCAGTTTGAGCCTAAAAATGTTTCTGTTTAGTTTAGATAGTTTGCATTTGGTGTATAATCCACAGGGCCCGATTTCCGCACCCAGTACATAGTCCGCCAAGCTGGTGCGTTGTGTCTTTGTGCTTTTTTTCCTGGGTGGCATTTTCTTCAGAAGTTCTTCGGTGAACGCTATTGAGCCTGAAGAACTGCTTGTGAGGCCCATATCTAGCCACAGAGCACACACAAGCACAGAAAATAACACTCGGTGCCAAGTACAAACGAAGCACCTGGGCGGAAAGCTGTGAATGCCAAACGAGCTGCGTCGGGTGACGGCGACTGACAGCGTTGCGCCCCTTCGACGCCTGCATCGCTGCGGTGGATGGTCGTAGCTAGTCGTAGCAAGATGATCTTCACTTCAAGCAAGAAATCTTGTTATACCATAGTCAAGATATGTGTGCAAGTGTTCGACGACGTGGGCTCTCTCACGTTGGTGCAGTTGTCATCAAGAAAGGTGCATATCAACAATGTTGCGTGTTTGAGGCTGAAACTATGATGCATACTTATCTAAA